GTCAGTTTTGATGCTCTTTATGGAAGGGAGAGGTACTTTGAAAAGAATTATGAAGAAATCAACCTTTCTTGGATTTATAGATCAACCCTATATGACAAAGGAAAACCAACCCACCCATCTAAAAATTTTCCTAATTATAGGACCTAGTGCATTCCTGTCAGCAAATTAGAAGCGCAAAATTTTTACATCTTGTCACCCGTTTGTGACACTCGGTTCAGCCTGGAATATCTTGTGTCACGCATATGTGACACCCCAAAAAATTATTTTTTTAGAAACCACTCATTCATATCAACAGTCGACTGCCAGCATGACCAGCGTTTACGACAGCCTCCTGTTTCTTTGGCAAATTTTTTAGCCTCAGACCTTTCAGTGTGGAGTAGATTGCTTCTTTGAAGTTTCCTATTCTGCAATTGTAAGCTATTCAAGTCTACAGCTTTAAAACAAAGGCATTTAAATAAAGCCTACGAGTTTTTGAGGAGGAGGGAGGGGGCTTTGCTCAAATCTCTTCCGTCTTATGTATAATTAATCAAGACTGCAAAATCTCTACTGCCTCTCTAATTTGCAAGAAGAAAACATTTATTTACCCCAGAAAAAAAGAACAAGTCGCCGCCTAACGCTTCATATGAAAATCACACGTACTTTGAAGTCACTCGCTGGTCGAGCAGTGAGTGCGCAGAAGGCGATGTCTTTGAGGCCAAATTGGTTCGCTTTATTCACGAAATCCTGCCGAAAGAGGCCGATTTATTTTCACTTCAGCTGGTGAATTTTACACTGAAATTAGAGTAAAGGCGAGACCTATTTTAGTCGCCGAATTTTTACCGACGATGAAGAAGGTGAAGGGGTGTAACTGGACTGGACTGACTAATCCAAATGACTACATCTGATCAACAAACAAACTGCATCAAAATTACACCAAAGAGGAAGTAGCATCTTTCCGCAAGCAGTTTGCACACTCTGCTAGTCCAGTCGCACTAAGCGTCTAGCCGGCTGCAGCCGTGGCCGCAAGGCATGACAGCAGTTGAAGGGGTAGCTGCCAAGACGCATATGCAGAGGTCGGGACCACTTGGCTCAAGCCATTGTCATCTTCCTCGATGGCCTCAACTCATGCAGATTTGGTTCAGCCATTCCATTGTAAGCCTTCCCAACCTTATTAATCCACAGTGAAGGTACGTCCTCCCTCCATCCGACAAGCAAAACCAGAAGTGAGCTCCTCTTTCAACCCCCTCACCGACACCGAATTGTGGCCCAGACAACCGTCTAACACCTCGCCTACACTGACCTAAGCCATGCATCTCCTTTTGGCAGTAAGCGATTAAGGAGTAGAAAAAGAAAAGGAGATGAAGCTAACGCATTTAGTTACACCGTCACCAATGCCAACGCACACAACTGGTCGTGACACGTGCTTGCATTGCTAATAGCAACGTTTGCAAGGTGAGACAATGCAATGTAAAGTAATTCAGGACGCTTTGCATAGCATTTGCATAGCATTAAATAATCACCAGTCCATTGGGAGAGGAGAAGGGGACATGCGTTTATCTATTCACGCCTACCGCCCTCACCACCATCACTCACCAACTTGATCTATTCCACATTGGATTATCTAGCAGAAGTACACCTGGACTTGCTACCGGTAATGCCTTGAGGTCACTATGCCAGCCCGGAGTTGCTAAAGCGTGACATGTGGTAGCAAATCATCGGGTCTGGTTATACTAAATCGTGTCATCAATGGGGCGATTGTGGCATGTTACCGGTCTTTGAGAAGCAGTTGAATAGGTCAACAAAAGGTGCGGTGACTGCCTTTTCTCCTCCATAAATCTGGTAGTGTAATTGAAGGGCAATGAAATGTGGCCTCACAACGCCATGCCAAGTGGAGGCGGTGACCCTGTATTCCTAATCATAATGCTGGCCTTGAGGTTAGACAGCTCTCATCGTCCTTATGCTGAGCCATTCTTTAAAAGAAAATCTTGAATGCGGCAGACAAGTTACTTTATTCTTTTCATTTCAAATTTTGGTAAAATTATCGCGGCCTGGTGAGGTGTCAAGCAGCCTCAATCACTGTCCCCTTGAAGCGCCAGTGGTGGACCCAATGCAAGGCCTAAAAGTGAAAAGCGGTTTCCTTTTCCATTACAACGTCGGTGCTGGTAGTTGATGCGCTAACGTGCGAAGGCTAAAATGACTGAAGAGCATAATGGGAAAATAAAAGAATGGGGCAGCGAATCGTTATGCGCGAATGGCATCTTTAATGAACTGGCGCTATCACCATTTACTCCTCAGTCTGTGTAACGTAGCATTCGTCGTCGTCTCTGAAGACGATATGAAGTCCAGTACAGACGGGCTGGGTGACTGTAGGCATAGCCGACCTCCATTTCCCTAAAGTGGTGGTCGAAATTCCCCCAGGGATGTGTACTTTAGTAAGTCTCGGGGCTCCTCTTGTCAACTCTTCTCCCTCCACCAAGACTTTATAGTTGGCGCTTTGGTCGACGATAATGCCTTGATTATCCCAAAGCCTCGTCAGCTTTGTAAATAGCATTCTGAAGGTCTACTATTGGCATTCGGGTGTCCAGTCGCAACTCATAGGAGCATTCTTCAACAAGCTGAAGTGTTTAATAAACCGAGGCTGAAATAAAACCCTTATTCCTACTCATTCGGCTCTTAATACTTTAGCATTGTCCAGACGTGTGTCAAGGTTGGCGTCAGGTAGGGTCCACCAAGGGCTATTTGAAAGCATGGAGGCCTGTTGGCCCTTCAGATCAGTCGAGAGTTGCCTTCTTGTAACTAGCTCTTAAATCGCTTCGACAGCTCTTTTGCTGTTAAAATCTGTGGATCAAGGATTTCAGAGAGTTTATCCTCTTCCTCGACGCTCGCAATAACTATTTAGGGATTTCATTCATTTGGTGTGACTCCCAAGTCATCCCTAAGGAGGACAATATTATTGTGGAGCACAGAGAAGGGTCAGGTGGCTATAGAAATGGAATAATGGTGGTCAAACCCACCAAGATAGAGGAGCTGGATCAGTTAGTCCAGCACACCACAGCCTTAAGTAATCCAGTAAAAATACGTAACCGGCGATAAGGAAAATAAGCCCCGCCCAAGTTAACATTCCCAAATCAATCTGCGATTTGGATAAAATTGGGCTTTAAGCGTTTAAAACTGAGCCAATAATTTATTTGGTCTAAGAGGCATAGGTCTGTCCGACCTCATAAAAGAAATGCCTGTGAGGATGGCAATTGAGTAACATAAAGATGTTAGTACAGTCTTTCTCACCCTGGGCTGGGAGGTCGTTCGTTTGTCGTTGAATCTACAGCCCACCTCTTTGTAATTGACTGAATTTGGGGCAAACATTGTGTCTTTTATGAACTAGATGGCCTGTAAAGGTGATTAGTTACTTGGCAAATGCTCCATACCTAATAATTAACCCTTGCCTACTCATAACTTTAAGTACTATATGCACCTTCCAATGACGAAATTGTATCATTGAGGATTTGAAATTTCAACTTTTTCAAGATTTTTCTACATATTTAGTTAGCGTAACTAAGTTAAGTTGTCCTCTCCTCGAAACGTGAAATGTTTACATCGTCATTGGATTTCACTTTTCTTGAAAAAAAGAAAGTTTTGTCCTCCCATAGAGAAAGTGGCCTTGTTTCAAAATTGGGCGAAAGGAATGATGCTTTGAGATACCTTTGCGCTTTTGAAGACAAAATCTCTAAAAATATTGTTACTATTTGTTGTACTTTTCCCTTCTCTCTTATAGGGTTGAAATTTCATGGAAACTGGGAGGACTACTAGCATATCATGTCACTACCTGTTTCGAAAAATGATACCTTCCATTCTCTTGTACATATTCTGGAACAGGAGGCACTTTCCACAGAGACAAGTGTGGAGTTTAAAATTCATCTATAGAACTGTACGTCCTGCAGATTTCGGTAAAATGCATCTAACCTGGTCCTTTTTAGGGCTCAAGGCTAGACGTGCTTCGCTGCTACGCCATCTACCATTTCATTCCCTCGTCGGAAAGCCCTTCTCGCCTTTATGGGAATTTAATCACTCGCTTGCAGCTTAACATGGGTCAGAGATTCATGTTCGACACTATTTTAGCCTTGTCACTTTTATCCGTCATCTATAAGCAATTTGGGTCACTCTTGGCCTCCTCCAACTTGAGGGGATCCCACTTCTTTGTCGAACAATCAGGCTTCACCATCTTCTCCTACACATCATACATGCTTTCCACAGAGGCCTTGAATTTGTTCAAATCTGAACCCACTTTATTTAGAAGCACGAACTTGACTTGGGGGCTAAAAAGTAACCTCAAAGTCATTTTCTGACCTTGTGACAGATAGACTTGAAAGAGCTGCGCGGGACACAGCCAGCTCACAATTTTACCCAAAATGGAGTATTTACAGCTCCAACTGGGTTGCATCGACGTGTCAGGAAGGGGAGGCAAGTTTGGCTCAACTTTTCAAGACAACAGTTGTCAATGCTGTGGCAAATAGCGCCTCCGATATTGTGTAGAGAAGCGAATAACAGAACAAACGAACGTACACACACACACACACACACAGGAGGTTCGAATTCCTGTGGTTTTACAACTTGTTTCGTACATTTGTTGTGTGCTTTTGCTTTATTTTTTTCCTAAAAAAGAGAAGAAAATTTGTTGACTGTAAGGTAAGTGAATTTTGTTGCGTGGTATCAATAACCAGTTTGACCTCCACTAAACCCATTTAGT